TTTAATAACAGCTAAAGGTGACATAGATACTTTATTATGGTATAGTATTCAAATATATGCCTAAGAAACACATAATATTGTCCCTTTAAGAGAATAAGGTTACCCCTACAGCCAAGCAACCCTTCTGTGCACAAAGTTTTGATCAGGCAGTTGTACAGACGCCAGGMCTGGCATGGGGGTGCCCTGTCTGTCCTCCAGCACCGGGATCCTTTGTGCCTCGCTGGCTGGACAGCCAGGACTCTCCGGATGCAAGGTCCCCAGAGAAAAGCTGCTTTTTCACCATGCTCCTACAGCCCAGCCAATGGGAACACACACACTAACACACAGTCACCAGCACAGCACACAAGCACCCAATACCTTAGAACYTGACAGGACGAAGGAAAGAAACAAAGCCCTCTGAGGATTATCACTCCCTTTCCTTTCCTTTTTTCTTCTACTCTTCTTACCTTTTTTCCCCACCTACGCATGCGCACACTTTTTTCCCCATGTTCTTTTAGATCTTTGGGGAATTGTACTACTGGACTTTGCTCTTCTATGATGAATTATTTGCCTAAAAATACTGTCTGCATGCAAGCAAGTAACACATCCAGGTGGAAGAACTTTCAACCACAAAGAGAAATCACATTACTTCTAGGCCACTTTTCCCTTCTTCTATCCCTGGGTTAAGAGCAGCATTGGGTATGTGTGTGTGTGTGGGGGGGGGGGGGGGGAGCAGGGGGCATGTTCTTGCTACAGCCTGGGAACCGATTCCAGAAAAAGGCAGACTCGTGGTGACCGAATATGCATCGTGGTGACCAAAGCCACCGCGGTACGCACGGGTACGAATGCTAATTTTGGGTGGGAGATTTTGTTTAGGACCAAGGTGTGAGTTTAGGTTAGTTTTATGTGAGGTGAATTTTAGGGTAAATGGTCAGGGTTTGACTTATGAATGGAAGTCAATCCACAGTCCCCACGAGGATATAAAAACAAACCTGTGTGTGTGTGTTTGTGTGATAATCTACAGCTTTTCTTCACAAAGTGACGTATCGCCTGATTAAATCCATGACCTTCACTAGCAGCACAAGCAATCAGGAGGCGAACGCACTCGCTCACACACCTGCTGCATACTTAACGCACTTGACGCACGAACATGTAATCAGCACCTGGTGGCATCTGTCGCTTCATTGATCCACACCAACACACACAAAAACATACACAAGACACCTATTGAATTGCATTGGAGACACCCTCACTTTACATAGTGCTTTGTACACTGATTACATTCACCACAGTAGGAGAAAAGGTTCGCTTGGATCATAATATCGGGTCTACCAATATATAAATAAATACATGTGTAATCTCGAGTCAGATTACCAAATAGAAAGCCAGGAATTCCATCTCACTAACTATGATGCATGAAGAAAATCATTCTGTATCCACTGAGTGCTATCATGGTTTTCCCTCCTCACTTTTATGACTTCACATAATGACTAACATGCAACCGCTGTAACAGCAAAGGCAACAGTCATATTATGTTATTGTGAACATTACTGTGACTGTGGCTATGGATTTTTGTTCACCGGTTTTCACAACAGTGATGCTTATATAACAGCCATTCTGCTGCTGTACTGTAGAACTATGTGGTCCTCGCAGCGTTTAGCCTGATGTAAAATGATTTTATGTAGACCTAATGTCACAACGTATTAAATCAAACATTGTTTTCATGCTTTTTGCCATGAGTGCTGCACGCCACATCTCACTTTTTGTAGGAGATTTTGTGTAGCAGTTTTACCTTCTATGCTCTTTTTTATGTTATACATTAATACCAGCTTTAAGAATTTGTCTAGTAGTGAATACAAAAAAAGCAGCTTTTTGTAGCAGAGAGGTGAGAGTATGGATTGACTCTTACTAAAACAATAAAATGCAAACAACACAGCTTAATAATTAAATTAATTTATTATTCAATTATGTATTCACTAACCCTAAATGACAATTGGATTTATTAAACTAAAGATGGTGAGATATGCTTCATCTGTACATAATACCATTTATAAGGAAAAAAAATTAAATAAAAAACCCACAAACAAAATGGTTAAATATAAAGATACATAGGACTGTTCAAAGTTTAAAGCATTTCAGGAGGAAATTAAAACTGGAAAAAAACTTAAGGAAATTAAACTTAAAGAGTCGGTTTAAGCCTCAACAAGTGATTTTATATGTGTCTCTTCGAGATGATTTTAACAGAGCTGTTAAATTATTGGACAGAAAACCCATCAGATCACAGAATTGTCATCTTAACATGATGAATTTTGAAAAAGTTGTCATATTCTTTAATTTAACACTTGTTTTCCATCCATCCATCCATTTTCTTCCGCCTATCCGGGGTCGGGTCGCGGGGGCAGCAGCTTCAGAAGGGAGGCCCAGACCTCCCTCTCCCCAGCTACTTCTTCCAGCTCCTCCGGGAGAACTCCAAGGTGTTCACAGGCCAGCCGAGAGACATAGTCCCTCCAGCGTGTCCTGGGTCTTCCTCGGGGCCTCCTCCCGGTGGGACATGCCCGGAATACCTCACCAGGGAGGCGTCCAGGAGGCATCCTAACCAGCTGAGCCACCTCAACTGGCTCCTCTCGACGTGGAGGAGCAGCGGCTCTACTCTGAGTCCCTCCCTGATGACCGAGCTTCTCACCCTATCTCCAAGGGAGAGCCCAGCCACCCTGCGGAGGAAACCCATTTCGGCCGCTTGTATCCGGGACCTCGTTCTTTCGGTCATGACCCAAAGCTCATGACCATAGATGAGGGTAGGAACGTAGATCGACCGGTAAATCAAGAGCTTCGCTTTCTGACTCAGCTCTCTCTTCACCACGACGGACCGGTACAGCGCCCGCTTTACAGCAGACGCTGCGCCAATCCGCCTGTCGACCTCCCGCTCCCTTCTTCCCCCATTCGTGAACAAGATCCCCAGATAAACTCTTCCACTTGAGACAGGGCGACCCCCCTGACCCGGAGAAGGCACTCTGCCCTTTTCCGGCTCAAGACCATGGCCTCGGATTTGGAGGCACTGTGCCTCGTCCCAAATGCCTAAATAGGCAGGCTCCTTGGGTGCTGAGTGGCCTTTCATTTCTTCTTAGTTCTAGGGTTTTTATTTATTTTTTTTTTACTTCTTTGGGTCAGACAGCTTTTTTCTGCTCAAGAGATTGACATGTGGAATTCCGTACCTACAGATTTTAAACTGATTACAGACAAGAACCATTTCAAATCAAGACTGAAGTCTTTTCTGAAGGAGAACCAGCTTTGTAATCATGAATAACTGCCTTTTTATTGATGCTATTACAATCTATTTTAAGAATTCTCTTAATATTACATGCTGTATTTTTTTAACTATATTTTAAACTGTTTTATTTTTGATAAAGTGGGGCCCACTGGCCATTTGATTTGGCCCATCTGCAGTTGATCTGGTTACTATGTTGTGATCTCCTGCTGTCCTGTGTAGAAACACGGTATTTTCACTTATAGCCATTCCATCAATTGGCCCAATGACTATAAGAGGATGTAGTGTAGATAGTCTCCACTCATTGGGCTTACTCAATCTTTGAATTCTTTTACAAGGGAAGCCTGGGCCTGAAGCAACCTATTGTAAATGTTTTTAGTTTGTGGGGAAAGTTATGGAAAACATGCAAACTCTACACAGAAGACCCAAGGTCCGAACCAAAGATTGAAGCCAGGACCTTCTTGCTGTGAGGCATCAGTGCTAATCACTGAACCATTGAGCTGCCAGTATTAAGATTAAACATGAAATACAAGTAACTACAAGAGACGTTTAGYTAAGATTAAGCACGCATGTAGATTCTCACACTTTATAAAACCACAAATACTCATATTTAATCAATTTATGAAATGTCCCATGAGCCTTTGCTGCCCGAGCAATTGTTCAAATTTCTTCAAGTGCACAAGCTAAAAGACAAACAAAACAAAATGTGAGCCATGGCACTGGCTGCTAGCTTAATTATAAAAAATGAAAAGGACTTTACTTAAAAAGTATTTTATGTATTATACTACTGCATTTGGCCCACAACCCTCAAATAGATTTTAATTTTGACCTACCCAGGGAAAAAGTTTGGGCACCCATGGTCTAGTGTGTACAATATAATGCTTGCGTACACATATCATCAAAACTTTCTTTTTTCCAGCATGCAGACCTGGAACGTACAAAGCTTCAGCCACAGATGCCTACTGCACCAAATGTCCTCCTCACAGCTCCTCCCCACAGGAACAAGCCATGGAGTGCGTTTGTGAGCGAGGCTTCCATCGCGCTGATTCTGACCCACGCTCAATGGCCTGCACACGTGAGTCATGCAAACACTGGCGAAAAGGTTAACTCCAACAAGTGTTCACACGAACATTGTATTAGCCACCACAGCTGCAGACCTCTTTGTGTTTGTTGTGATACAAACAACCTGGTTGTGTTTTATATAATGTTTTATTGTTATTCTTAGAAGTATTCGCACAGCATGGCTGAAACTGTAGGATGTTTACTAGATGTATTCACATTTTTTTTCTTCTATGTTGCTATTCTAGAAAGCACATAAAAACAACCATGCCATTAGTTGTGTGGATACAGTCAATAGATTTTACAAATATGGCTGATGCTCCTTTAAAAGGTTATTGATATTTCTAATGCTTTGAATATCTTAGTTTCTCACACAATAATGCATGCACGGCCCCAGGGATTAGAAAGAATGTTTATGACAAAAGACTGAGATTAGAGAAAGAATAGCAGTGGTTCCATCGTTATTATGCGCATTATGAAGTATTGCATTAGAATACGTTGATGGAAACACCAAAATTTAAAAAAAAAAAATTTACACCTGCTTGAGCTGGGTTTTGGATTTTCCGAAAAAGAGTTAATCTCACAAAAACCTAAATAGAAACACATTTGCTTAATAGGTTTGTAAATAGCAAACATTTACCTCATGATTTATCAGCTGTGTCGACTGTCGGTGTCTTACCGACAGTCTTCTTGATTGATAGCATCACATTCTTGAAAACCTCTCCCCATTGTCCTGAGATGTATGGTCCTTGAAAGTTTGCTAAATCTACTTCCTGTTTACTACAGTCATGGGTAGACTGGTTGATTCACTTCAAACCAGTAGATGGAAACATGCCTAATTCTGTTATTTTTTTATTTTACTTTTTTGGTCAACATTTTAAATTTTGCTCAAAATTCACATTACAACATGATGGAAACATGGCTTATGACATAAAGACAGAGCTATTAAGGCGTGGATAGACAATGGCGTGTTGGACACGGCAAGAAAGAAGCAAACTACACTAAAGTGCACACATACTACACACGAACACACATTCAAGCATGAACACCTATACCAAAACCCATTATCAGGTTATGGTAGATTACTCTCATTAATCGTCATAGCAGGTGAGATGTGACAGGTGTTATCAGCTGGAAATGAGTAACGGTCTTTTCGAATATGAACACACACACACACACACACACACACACACACACACACACACACACACACACACACACACATGCACTCTTCTGCCTGGTGAGAAGCACAGTTTTGAGGTTTAAAGGTGAAAAATGAGAACCAAGTGACATAATTAGTCATGTAGGCATGGAGAATGACATTTGAGACCCAGGCAAAGAAAAGAACAGTTGGGGGGTGGATATCAGGGGTCTTCTAATCTAAGTGTCATAAAAATGTCATAAAAGGCTGATCAGGAGCAATGATAATGACGGACTGTTAAGTGGATGTGGAGGAAGTTGGGGGAAGGGGAAAGGCAGAATTAGCAGCG